GGGGGGGGGGGGTCCTGAGCCCTGCCTTGGGTGGTCCCATCCCGTCCCCGGGGGTCTGAGACCCTGCCTGGGGGGGTGGGGGTGGGGGTGGGGGCGGTTCCCGGGGCCTGCCCTGGGGATCTGAGCAACTCCTAGGGGCTCTGGAGCTCTACCTTGCAAGATCGAGCCCATTGCTGAATCTAGGCCCTGCCCTGGCTATTGGATGGGGCTGGAACATGCTAGCGGACTCGGCTGGGTCCCGCAGAACTGAGAGGCAGGCCGGCCCCAAGGAGTGCCCCTCCCATTCAAGCTCTTGCCGGTTGTACCCTCTAGGCAGAATTCAGAGGCACCCAGGCTTCTGTTTTCACCGGAGAAGTGTCTCAATCGAAACGTTCCTTTTTAAGTGCAGAAAGCCGAGGCCTTTCTTGTTTTTTGTAAGATGATGTTCAACTAGGCCATTCTAACAGAATGAATGGAATGCCGGGGCACAGCAGAGATGTAGCTGCAAAGGCGTGGATGCCCAGCTCCGTCTGGGAAATGTATAGCGGACGAAGAGGAGCCTTTGGGCGGGGGCTGGAGGACAGGATGCGTCCTAGTGCAGCTGGAGGGCGTGTGACCAGGCGGTACAGAATTAGGCACTTGAACGGAGAGGTAGCCTTGAGGAAGGTGGGTTACCTCTTGGCATCTTGACCCAGCGTTGCCAGTGAAGCCCCGTTCAGGTGCTTCTCCCCGGGTGCCACTTCCCTGTTGTCAGACCGAGGGTCTGAATTACAATGTACAGGAAGGAATTTACGGATTTGTGCGTTCTGGTGGGCTGTCTCATTTTGTGGCTGGGCACACCGCGCTCCACTTCATGCTGGTGGAGACAGACAGGCTCGGGGAATATCCGTAAGTCCGTGGAGAAACCAGGAGATGCTCTGTCACTCCAAGGATATCCTTGGAGGTGCCGGGTTGCCTGCGGGGCTGCCCGGCCCTCGGAGGGTGGACGCCTGCGCACAGGTGCTGCCCCATTGCTGTTCAGGCAGGCCACCTCATTGCAGATGGAGCGCAGCCTTTTTTCGGGAATTGCAGGGAGCTAATCCCGTGGGCTTCACCGCATGGAGCCTCTCGAGGCAAACACACCTCCGGGCTCTTTCCCCTGGCAAGCTTCTCTCTGGTTGCTGTCCTGGCTGAGTCGCTGGCGCTGTGCCCAGGAGCCTGCCTTCCCGGCGGTTCCTGGGGTGGGGGGTGGGGGGAGGGCAGCAGCGAGGATTAGCATTCCTCACAAGGAGGCAACGCATTTTTATGGCTGCGTTATTGATACTGCCACATGGCTGGTGATAGAGAGTCGATGGTTTCCTTCTGTGCGAGTTCACAATCCTACATACGGCCTGAGTAACTGAAAATCCAAGCCTCTCTGGAGACCATGCAGAGGTCATTAAACATCTGCCTTTTTTATGAAGGCATCAGTGTTGGTGTTGGGGTGACAGCTAGGGAACAGCAGGGCGAGGGGTGGGGAGTAACAAATGACATTGCCTGGTGTGGCTGAGCTGAGACAGGCACACCGTCTGAACAGCAAACAAAAGCGCACCCTCAACAGGAAGAAGCTGGCTAGCTCTGTAGCTTCCCTTTGAAAGTATGCTATTTCCCTCATTCTCAAATACCAGTCACTTTGAAGATGCATCGCTGATTTGATACTTTTGCAAAAAAAAAAAACAAACAAACCCTGAGACTATTAAGATTCACTTGGATGGTGAGATGTACTCAGATTTCTGAGACACCAGAACACGCACAATTGTGCATCTTGGGACCATTACCAGGAACACTGGTAATCTTTGCCTCTACCATCGCAGGTGTTGGGGTGGCTTCCTTTGGTACTGCAGCTCCTGTCAGCTCACTTGTTTCCTCTTTCCGTTCCTAAGTTCTGGAACTCCCTTCCCTCTACTGACAAACACTTACAGTGTCTAGTGGTGGACTGTGTACTTAAAATCCCCAGCGTTTGGAATCATCTACCTGTGTATGCCGTGGGGTGGGGGTGGCTTTGTAGTTAGTTGCCCGGTCGACAGCGTCACCGGCTTCCTTTAGCGTTTTGGGTTTTCTGTGTCTTCGTGGAAGGTCTATCGAAAATGTCAGGATATGGCATCTCTCAGAAAAGGGGAGTCAGGGACCCCAGTTGGTGAGTGTGTTATCAGCGGATCAATGCTGATGAGAATCTGGCCAAGTTCATACATTTCTTACTTGGGATCTGAAATGCGTTTTTCCCTCTGAGGAAAAAAGTGACATGTTCACGCAGATAATTAGCAGGTGAGGAAAAGAACACAGAAGGAAATAAAAGTAAAAATAAAAACCTTGAGGTTACGGTGGTTTTCAGCCCTGTTCCTCCTGGGCCCCTGGGCCCTGCCAACCCCTGAAGACAAGGAGATGGGTCACCCCCCCATCATTTCCTGACTTACCTGTACCAAGGACCTACCTCCACTGTCCTGTCTGGTCATGGGCTGGGTTCCATCCTAGGCCCTGATGGGGGGAGAGGGGTGCCCACAGTCCTGAGACACAGCCTCGGGGCGTTCAGGATAGGTTGCTACCCTCATGGTGAGCCCCCTGGACGAGGGTGGTTCACAGCAGTGGGAAGACCTGGGCTCCAGGCTGCTGTGAGCACCCACCTGATGGCCTGAGGAGGCTCAGAAACTGAGGCCCAGCCTCTGCCTTGCAGCAGCATTGGGTGACATGGGTGTGCACTCCACGCCCAGGAGTCCGTGGTGACACCAGGTGGTTCTGGGGGACACCCCAGGTCGTGCTTCCTCCTGGGGGGCCTCTGGTGACAACAGGCAGGTACGCAGGACACCTCAGTCACGCTTCCTCCCTGGGGGTCCCTGGCTGTAGCAGGCAGGTCTAGGGGACACCTGCTCCTGCTTGCTGAGTCCGGAGGTTAAGGGCTGGCCTCAGTTACCATCTTTCCTGCTCTTTGATTGCAGGTGCACAGAAGAGCCTGTGGCCCTGGGTGGTGAGGGCAGCTCTCGTGCAGGAGGTTCAAGAGCCGGGCCCCTTCATCTCAGTGACTTCAAGATGATGACCCGGAGTAAGAGCTCCATGCTGGTACTGACCTGCTGGGGCACCAGGTGGACGGGCTGCGGGGCTGGGTGGCTTGGGTATCTGGTCCTGGAGCCAGTTGATCCCTGCTGTGCTACCCACTGGCCGTCTGGGCCCCTGGGACCACCAAGTGCCCTGCCATCCCTGTGCTCAAGGATTTTGTCCCTCTCCCAGACACGTCCAGGCGCCAGCCTTAGATATGTGTCCCCTCCCCCTCCTCAGGGCAACCTCTCCCTAGCACCATGCTACTGGGGGCTGGGGTCTCCTCTGGTTTCCTCCCTCTCAAGCCCCACAGCCTGACCCCTCCTGGAGTCAGGAAGCCCCCTTTTCCTGAGGTCCAGGGCTCATGGGCCACATGGGCTGGGCAGGAGCCTCGTGTAGAGCTGTGCCTGACGGCAGGCAGTGAGGATGGGGTGATGCGCAGGTGCCCCAGAGAGCTGCCACCGCTACTGTTCTCTTCTGAATTCCCCGGTTTCAGTCACAGCCTGGGGTACCCCGCAGCCGCAGGCTGGCCACCACCCTGCTCTCTGGGCAAAGGGGGCGAAATGGAGACCCTGTGTCGGGCGGATGCCGTGTCAGCATTCCTGATACTCGGCGCTCCCACCCAGGGCGCGGCCCCATCTCTTCCTCTGCTGTTAGGCACAGGGGGCACCCTCAGTCCAGGTCGGCAGCGGGCAGGGCAGCTGCCCCCAAGGGCGGCCTCCCCGAAAGCTGCGGAAGAGGAAGGTCTCCGTCACCACCGAGCTGACCCTGTTTGAGATGGTGGCACTGGGGAAGAACTCCATGCAGGTACCACCCATTGCTTCTGCGGTGGCGCTGGGCAGGGCTGGGGGACGCCGCAGGGCGCACGGGGCAGGGCTGGGGACGTGAGCGTGGGAGGCCCTGGGGGGCACGGACCACCCTAGTGTGCTGCTATGCCCAGGCTGAGGCCTGATTGCCCACACGTGTGCACATCCGTGCTCTCCCTGGCCCATCCCATGTGCCTGATTGCACACTCGTGTGCACATCTCTGCTGCCCCTGGCCTGCCCCATGTGCCTGATCACACACACGCACGTGCTCGTGCTCGTCCTGGCCCGTCCCGTGCGCACACTCGCGTGCTCACCACTGGTTGTCGCCCCCAGACAGCTGTGGAGGAGTGGGTCCAGTCTTACAAGGAGGACCGGGCACTGGCCTTGCTGGACCTCATCAGCTTCTTCATGCAGTGCTGCGGCTGTGAGGGTGAGCGCAGCCCTGTGACGCTTGGGGCGGGGGACTGCGCGTGGCCGCAAGGCTGGCTTGAGGGTGAGGAATGTGAACTGTGCCCTGATGCTGCTCAGTCTGGGAGCTTCCGGGGTGCTGCTGTTGCTCCTGAAACACGTGCACCATGCAGCTCGGGGATGACAGCTCAGTGATGGTGTCACAGACACCCGGGTGCCTCCCGCGCCCCTATAGAGTCGGCCCCAAAGGGGAGGGTGGGACCCGCGTGCACGGGCACAGGTCCCATTGCACTGGCCCCTCTCGGGGGCACCGCTTTGAGACCCTTCCTCCCTCCGCCCCCAGGGATGGTGACAGCCGAGCTGTGCCAGAGCAGCCAGGGCGGGAGCGCAGCGCACACGGTGACCGAGAGGTTTGACCAGGTGGGCGGCTCCGCCTCCTCGGAGCGTCCCCTGCGCCCTGCGTGGAGCTCGCGGGGGGCCAGGCGCACAGCCAGGCCCCATGTCGCTGCTCTGCTTCCCTCGGAGCAGAGGGCCTCCAGGCGCTTTGCTGGGGAAGACCAGCTTTCTTCTAAAGAGAAATTAAAAACTTAAATTATGTATTGGAGGTTATGCTGATTACACAGAAAGAATAATTATACAGTGGTGATCAGGTATTTCATCCAGATCAAGAAACAGCATGGCCAGTGCACACCCAGAGGGTCCCTGCCTGTCACCACGCCCTTGCCCACCCCCAAGGGGACCAGGGCCCCTCCCTGTCACCACACCCACGGGGTTCCCAGTGCCCCCAGTGTCTGCCAATCTCACTCATCCTCAGGCTTTGCCCTGTGGGCCTCCGTGAGCTCGGTGGCCAGGCTCTGCATGGGGCTGAGCTCCTGTGTGGGATGAACGCTGCTTTTTCCTATTGCCTCAGCATTATGTCTAAGATTGTTCCATCTTGTAGATACAGGTTTTAAAACGATTTTTATAATTTTAATGGTTTTAAGTAAAAACCCACTTTGTTGCTGTGGAGAACCTACCGCATGAGTCAGGGTTCATTTGGCCACCCATTTTCGATGTCATCTGCCTGCCCTTTGGTGTAGGCTCCTCACGGCAGTGAATGGCCACATGCCCACGTCCTGGTGAATGTGGTCGTGTGTCTGTGTACACGTGTCATGTATGATACTTGGTTGTTCTGCAGCTCTGCTAATATTGGATATTGTGTTTTCGATTTTTGCTGGTCAGGTAGGTGTATGCATAGTATTTTCTTGTGGTTTTAATTCTCTGGATTCTTATGGAAGCTGAGCACCATTTCAGTTATGACTATTTGCTCATATAAAAAATGTTTTTTTGATTGTGGCAAAATGTATATGAAATTTATATTTTCTCCATTTCTCAGTGTATAGTTCAGGAGCATTAAACACGTTCACATGTTGTGCAACGTCCCCAACATCATCTCTAGAACTTTCCATCTCCCCGACCTGAAGCTCTGTCCCCATGAAACCCTCCCTCCCTGTCCTTTGATCCTGGCCCCATGGCCCTGAGCTGAGCCCCTCAGATCGCTGAGCCCTGTTTGGCTGGGCTGGGGTCCTTCCCTTGGAGAGCCCCCGGCATGTGTGGGCCTCCGATTCATCCGCCCTCAGCATCAGGTGTGCAGGTTGCAGCCCCAGCCACTCCCCTGCCCGTTCAGGGAAGGGTGGCGAGAGGCAGAGAGGGGTGGGGGAGCACAGGCGCCACGGGCCGTGGACGCGTATGGCCAGCACACACGGGAGGCTGTGTGGGCGAGTGAGCAGCACGAGCCCTCCTGGGTTTACTGGGAAGGTCTTCTGAGTACCTTTCAGAGAGGACACACTGTGTGTCAGGTCCCTCCGTGTGCACAGTTCCCCTCCCACAAGTGCCCATGTGACCTTGAGACTTAGGGCAGAGCCTGCACTGTTCAGGCGGCCCTGAGCCGGCTCCACTCCCGTGGGACTGAGCCCGGCTCTCGGCGCCCCACCCATCCCACGGCCGCAGCCGGGCATCCCAGGCCTGGCAGTGCTGAGGCCGAGGGCACACAGGGCTCACGCCTCTTCTGTCCCTGCAGGAGACAGGGCTGTACTACAAGAAGTTTGTGGCCTCCCCTTGGATCCTCACCGTCATGTGGCCGGAGAAACCGGTAACGTCTCCCTGCACGTCTCAAGTGTTTAAGAAGGGACAGTCTGGTTATGCTGATGTGGTGGGTGTGGGCCCGTGCTGGCTTCTCAGCTGTGGAGGAAGGGCTGGTTCCCTGCACAGGTGAGCTCCGAACAGGTGAGGGACCCCTGGGGAGAGCTGTGCTGTCGGGGGAAGTGGCCTCAAAACGGACCAAGTTCTGCCTCACGGAGTGCATTTAGCCCTCAGTAGGTCCAGTCTCCAGGGCATCAGCCCCTCATGTTTGTTCACACTAAGGACATTTACACCCGACTGGTCCATCCACACTGACATTTATCCCTGTGTCCCGTCTATACTGAGGATAGTTATTCCTGACAGTGTCCATCCACACCGAGGACATTTACACCTGACCGTGCCTGTGTGTACTGAGGACATTTAGCCCTATGTATACAGAGGACATTATACCTGACCGTGTTTCCTCTACACTGAGTGTCCACAGCCTTGACCAGCACCGCCTACACCAGACCTCTGAGACCTGGCCAGAGACACAGCCCTGCCTCCGCGGGGAGCTTCAGGGCCCGCGCGGTTGGGTAGAGATGGACCTCAGTGGCCTGGGGCCTTGAAGGTGGTGCCCCAGGTCAGGCAGCTTCTTAGGAGGCCTCTGGGCAAAACCGACCGAATCCCGGAGTTCCACCAGCAGGGCCTGGCCCTGGTTACTGTGCCGGTGGGGTGGGTGAGGGAGTGAGGGGAGGGGTCCACACTGCGCAAGGAGTCCAGCCCAGGATGGCGAGGGTGTGGTGCTGGGCAAGGTTGAGAAGGAGGTGTCCTGGTGGGCATGAGGCACCCTAGGGAGGGGCCAGTGCTGTAGTGCCCTGTGCAAGTGGGACTTCTCTGCTGTGCAAGTGGGGCGCAGTGCATGCACGGGGTCAGGGTGGGGGTGCAGCACGTGGGGGCAGGGCACAGGGCCCAGGGGCCCAGGAGTGGGGTGGGAGCACGGTGCACCCCTGGGACCTCAGCCCCATCACTCATGGGCACCCTGGGCCAACCAGCTGGCTGTTGGTCTCTGGTTTGACCTCCCTGCAGGGTTCGCACTCCCTGGGGGTCCTTGCAGGTGGAGTACCTGGCAGTTCAGACCAGTTCACCCCACATAGCTGAGGCCCGTTGCAGGCAGGCGGTCCTGGCTAGCTGATTGCAGGGCACATGGATGGAGTTGGGAGGCCTGTGCAGTTCTGTCCTGTGGGACATGACCCACCGGGTGGAGTCACTGTGCTGCCTGTGCTCCCGGTTCACCCAGAGTTTTCCATCCTGCAGTGAGGGAGGCCCTGGCGGAGCCTGCTCATGCGTGGTAGGGTCTTAAGCAGTTTCCACTGTAGCGCCCAGCATTTCAAAACAAACTCACTCAGAGCTGGAGTGCAAACCAGGAGAGCCTGTCTTTGGTGAACCATGGGTCAGGAGAAGGGCCATCCCCTCAAGATTCTGTCTAGGGGCCTGCTTCACCAAATGTGCACCACCCACTAGCCTGGTGCCCCGACCAGGTGGCGCGTGACCCTGGGGTAGGGTCACCCCTGGCAGGGTGGACATGAGAGCCCAGATCAGGGCCGGGTGGTTTCACCCACATGGTGGGTTCAGGCTGCTGTTCAGTGGCGACCCTGTGTGTCCTGGTATGTGGTCCTGTGGGACCCCACATGGTGACATGGGGTGATGCCCGAGGAAGTTCTGGGGCCCGTGTCAGCCCTATAGATCTCATCATGTGATGGGACAGGCCCTTCATGGGCAGGAACTCCACGTCCTCTGACTATCCTGGTCTGCGTGAGGGTCCCGCTCTCCAGGGTCCCCTGGAAAGGGCTCACGTAGCACAGAGCTCCCCAAAGGATGGTCTTCCAGTGCAACATGAGTCATGGTGACAGCCCTCGAGGCAGCAGATGGCCTCGCAGCAGCTTGTGGCCTGTCCTTGCACGTGTCACCACCAAGGGGGGGAGCCCACCGGTCCCATTAGCAGGACACCATTCTTAAAATTGTTTTCAATCTGTTGTAATAAAAGGCAATGTAAATTCTGCAGCATGAAACACTCCCGTCCCACCTGCCTCCCTTGTCCCCATCCATCTGCCGTCCTGCCAGCCCCCTCCAGCTCTGAGCCTGCATTCTGGCACCACGAGTGGACCCTGTCTGTTTAGGATGCATAGTTTGCGGGGTGGCTATCATCTTGGCAAACCCGTGGGTGATGGTGACTATGGGAGGGCTGGTCTTCTGCCCGAGCATCCTTTGGGGACAGAGTGGGCCCAGGCCCTGCTGGCCAATGCTGGCACTGGCTTTTCCTGCTCTTGGGGTGGGGGTTCTTCTTGTGGGGCAGTGGGCTTGCAGGCTTCATGGAGTGCAGCCCCCAGAGCACAGGTATCCTGCACGGGACACAGCGTTGGGGCTGTGAGCAGCGCCTGGAGCAGCCATGCTATCACCTCCAGCTGACTGTGGGCAAGGCGCCTGGAAATCCCATGGACAAGGACGTGACGCGGCCCTGGGACGCCAAAGGCCCTGAGGTGCTGGTGTGGGCGAGCTCCTTGAGGGTCCAGGCGCAGGGCTTCATTGTCCCATCCGTGCTGTCTTCTGACAGGAGAATGACTTCTATCCCATTGTGGGGCCGGGGCCCTTCTGGAAGCGGTTCCGGGCCAACTTCTGCGAGTTCACAGAGCTGCTGGTGCGCCAGATGCACTGCTCAGCGCTGTGTGATGGCCAGCTTGTGGACACCGTGATCTGCATGCTCACTGGCCTCACCACCTCCGCCGTGCACAGCCTGAGGCACACCAGCTCACTGGCAGGTGAGGCCACGCGGAGGGGCCCAGCCTGCCTGGAGGGGCTGCACACTGGGCCTGGTGGGGCTGCAATAACCTGTGCAGCTCCTGTCCCTGAAGGGGGTGTCCACACCTGGGGCACCCTGGCACCTAGTAGTGGTCAAGGGCAGGGTGCCAGGGCAGAGGCCAGGGGCGCCAGCGCAGGGAGGCCCAGCAGGCCAGAGCTACAGGGTGTTTGCAGGAAGGAGACTCTATGCAGAGTAGGACGAAGAGCGCACCCATTTCCCTGGCCTGTGGAGGGCGCCAGTGTGTCTGACCACGTGGTACAAGAGGATGCTTGGGAGGGGTGGGGCTGTGGGGTCTCGGGTGTATCCAGTCCCCTCCCCAGAGGTGCCCGGGCTGGCTCTCCTGGGTGAGTCCTGTCCCCAAAGGACTCTGGCTGGCTCACTAGAACTGAGTGTGCCCTCAGAGCATGCACACAGCTGTTGGTTTTCGCCCAGTGGACTTGTGGCCTGGGAGGGAGATGGGCTGGCCAGGCCATCTCCCCACAGTCCTGGCCTCTCTCCCCACCCCGCGCCCTCCACCTCCTGCCACCCGCAGCCACCCCCAGAGGTTCCACATTCTCCCTGTGCTCTGCCTGCAGCCATGAAGCTGCTGACAGCGCTCGCCAGCATGAACCAGGGCACGTGCCCAGTCCAGCGGCTGTATGACATCGAGAGCGTGAGCCGGCCTAAGGGCAGGCGTGAGTCCTGCGGACAGCTGCTGGACCAGCGGCACCAGGTGCGGGGGTAGGGTGGGTGCACCTGGGTCCCCTTGCCCTGGCCCCCCACTCTGCTGCCCGCACGTGGGGCTGTGCCGGTTGCCCCGTGTGCCGCAGGCCTGTCTAGTGGGTGGCTGGATTAGGATGGCACTTCCCCTCACACGCTGGCCCAGAGCTGTTTTCCCTGCAGCGTCCTCAGCCATGTCTGTCCGTCCTCCCACATGGCTCCGTTAGGCTTCCGCTTCTTTTTCTGTCATGGTTTTTGTTTTAGTTGGCAGAGGACTTGTGCAGACTCTGCTTCCCTTTCATTTGCGGTGCTGTTGATCCCCCACCGCCACCCCGCCTGCTGCTCCCGCGTGTGCTCCCATGGGGGAGCTGGCTTTGGCTGCCACCAGGTGTCTGAGTGCAGAAGCACAGCAGGGGGCACACTTCCCTGGGGGGCACAGATGAGGCCACCGCCCCAGCCCTGCCCCTGGTGGTGCCTTGTGGACAGGAGAGAAGCCCATGCAGGACGGGCACACAGTCACGTGGGCATGGGCCACACACCTGCTTATGCCTGTGTGCACTTGTAGAGGTGTGGACACAAGTCTGTGCGAATGCTTCAGTGTGCACGTGTGTAAACTTGTATTTGTGTGTTCCTGTGCTCATTTGCATTGTGAATTGTTTACATACAAACGTGTGTTTGTGCCTGTTTGTGCATGGGTGTGTGTGTGTACACAGGAGTGTGCATGTAGGTGTGCTTGCACACATGGCTGTGTGCATGCCTACATGTGCATCTGGGCATGTGCATACCCATGCATGTGCGCTCAGAGTGTACCACGTGAGTTCACACTACTGTGTTGTCTGCTTTTAGGTGGTGCATATGTATGCATATATACGTGTATGTGCACATGTGTGGTGTGCCACCTGTGTGTGCAGTGGCATGGCCGGCTGCAGTCAGGGCAGGCAGGAGGGTGGGCAGCTGTGGAGCAGAATCCTTAGTGTCATGCAGGGCTGTGTAACAAGAGGTGACCATCCTGGCCTTGGGTGGCCCCCACACAGCTGTGCTTGTGGTCCCGCAGCCCCAGCGCAAACCAGAGGCCATCGATAACATCATCTGCTCACTTTTTAAAAGGACGTTTGTGCCTCGCTATCGGTAAGGTGTGGTCACGTCCAGCCTTGTGTCGTCCCTTGTACCCATCCTGTGGCTGCTGACGCTCTGAACCCTGCTCGCAGGGATGTGAGCTCGGACATCCGAGTCATCTGCGTGGCGGAGCTCGGCTGCTGGATCCGGCTCTACCCAGACATGTTCCTGGACAACAACTATCTGAAGTACATCGGCTGGATGCTCTACGACAAGGTGCGAGTCACCCCGGCCAGGGGCGAGTAGGTTGTGTCCTGTCGTCTGGTGCCTTCACAGAGAAGCCCTTCCCATGACTCTCAGGACACTTGTGAGGGTTGCCATGAAGGGTGGCTTTGCTGCAGTCCCCTCCTTTGTGGTGGGTGCAGTCTAGGCCACATGGGCTGCGTCCGAGATGTAAGATACAGGCCAGGCTCAGGTTGCCATCCAGTGTCCTCGGCCTTTCCTGCCACACCCTATGCTTCGCCACGCAGCCCCTCCCTTTAACTGCCACCCCCCAGCCCTGGGTGTCACATAGCATCTCAGGTGCCAGGTTGAAGCTCTGGGCTGATGCGAGGGGTGGACGTGACCCCTCCTGGAGGCCACAGGAAAGCTGGTAACCCGCCCCCGCCCCACAGGACGCCAGCGTGCGGCTGAAGTGCATCACGGCCCTGAAGGCGCTCTATGAGAAGAGGGAGTCAGCCATGAAGCTGGGCCTTTTCTTCCACAGATTCAAGGTGAGCCTGTTCACCATCTGCCATGTGGCTGTGGTGGCTGCCAGCACTCATGGTGTGTGTGGGGGTCTGGGCTAGTTGGCCGGGCAGGGCTCGTCCCAGCCAGGCAGGAGCTGCCTCTCCCAGGAGAATGGGACTCTTGTGCATGTGTGAGCCTAGGGCCAGGCCACCTGCTGCATGGAGACCAAGTCGTATGTGCTGCCTCCAAGGGCCCACTGTGCATGGAGGGTCCGAGCAGCCAGTGGTGGGACCAATGACTGGGAGATGGGCACGTGGTTATTTAGCATTTCCCGTGGTGCTGGTCGGGGGAGCCGTGTGAGGGATGCGAGGCCCCAGAAGGGCTGGGCTGGGAGATTCCAGGCAAGGGGCAGGCCCATGGGAGGTCAGGGCGCCACCCTGGCGGGAGGTGCCCGTGGGGCTCTGCACTGCTGCAGGTCAGCCTCACCCACCCGCCCTCCCTCCACAGCCATCGTTGTGGACCCAGCGACTTGCTGGCCCAGCAAGGCTGATGGGGGGGGATGTAGCTGCGGGCACCCTGATGCAAAGACCGCTGTCCACTGGGCTGTCCTGTCTCACCCAGTGGCCACCAGGATGGGGCATGTCATGTCCCAGCAGGCCAGGGTCTCCACAGGGATGCTTGGCAAAGTCTGGCACAGTCGGTTGACAGCATGGTGGGGAGGTGCTGCTGGCTTCTGAGGATGAGGAGGCTGCCCAGCACTCCACCACGCAAGGCCACCTACCCAGAGGCAGCCTCCAAATGCCCTGGGGCCAGGGAACTAAGGCAGGCTGGATGCCAGGAACCGTGGAACGTGGGAGCTGGGGTGGGAGGACAGAGGTGGGTGCTGGTCCAGTGGGCGCAGGTCCAGTAGGATGTGTGGCGCTCACAGCCCCCGACTTTGGAGGGGCAGCTCTGCAGCAGCCGGCCTGGCATTTCGCCGATGCATGGCAAGTCTCAGCAGTCCTGTGGCATGGTCAGGGTTAGGACCAGGACGCACTCTCATCTGCTGCTTTGGTTCCCTCAGAAACGGATCTTGTCGATGACCCAGGACAGACAGCCGGAAATCACCTCGGAATGCATGCAGCTCTTGGGGCTCATTTCTGAGTAAGTAGCCTCTGGGCGCATGCATCCCTGATCGTCCTGGCCTGCATGGAGCACGTGGCACTAGCCCCACGTGTCTGGACACACAGGTGTGTGTGTGGGGGGTGTGGGGTGGTTGCAAGTACCGTGAGCTGTGACTTTCAGGGGCTGAGGAATGGAAGTCCTCAGGGCCCTTGCTGGGCAGAGCTCCTTGGTTCTGGGCTCAGAGTCCCTCTGGTCCCTGCCTCTTCACCCTCACGCCATCACCCCGCCCTCCCCATTGCCCCTCCCCTCTCCCCGTCCCTGCCCAGGCACTACGAGGGTGTCTTCTCCAACAAGGAGTACATCTTCCTGTTCCAGTTTGTGTACGCCGCCTACAGGCCCCTTGCGACGGCTGCGGGGCAGCTTGTCTGCAAGAGGTAGGTGGGCGGGGCCCCAGGGCACCTGGTGGGACGTCCGAAGGGCCAGGTGTCAGAGACATCACTGTAATGTCAGGCACAGGGTCCTGGGACCTGAGCTGCCTTCTTCCAGATGGAGGGTGAGGAGCCCCAGGACATGGGGAGCAGTGGGGGCCCGTCACCAGGAGTGGGCAGGGCAGGGCAGGAGGGTGTGGGACCCTGGTAGGAACACAGACCCCAACCACCTGTGGGGACATGCTGATCTGGACATGCTGATCTGGTGTGTGCGACACACACGTATGGGTACCAGACACGCTGACAGGTCCCCAGGTGAAGGCATGTGCCCACGGGGGTCAGGCCCACCAGCCCTGTCCCTGGAGTCCCCCTGGTTTCTGTCCTGAATCATCCTCAGTGTCCTGGGTCCTTGTCAGGCAAGGGTCTCTGTTCTAGGGTCCAAGGTGCAGAGACTGCGGCTTGTCTAGTCAGCCGTTGACCCCAGACGCTGGCTGCATGAGTGATTGCATATGTCTGCTTCTAGCACTTTCTCCGTGTCCCGGCCACATGGCCTCCACATGTCCCGGCATCATGGCCTCCCCGGGTCTCCCCTCACAAACCACCCTTGTGTGCGTGTGCTAGGATCCAGCTAGGCTGACCCCGCAGGGAGTGGCAGGAGTCTGGCCCTGAGGTGCTCGGTCACCCACATGGTCCATCTGCTGTCAGTCTGTCTGTCTTCCCCAGGCTCCTGGCACTGCCACCCCAGGAGAGTTTCCTTAGTCCGGAGCTCCCAGACAAGTTCAACAGAAACTTCCAGAGCATGAAGACACTGATTGACTTCTACCTGCAGGGCGAGGTGGGGATGCTGGGCCTGCATGGGGCTCTGTGAGGCATGACCTGTGTCCTGAGTCCTGTGTCGCATGTCCTGTGTCCCATGTCCCAGGTCGGTCTGCAGTGGGATCTGGTTCCTGGTGAACAACTCAGTGTGAGCTGTGGAACTCGGGGCTGGCGTCCTCATGTCCTCATACGCAGGGAGGGGAGGAGGGGGTTGCCATGCAAGGCATCCGGACACATCTTCACACACTATCCTGCAACATTCATGTCTTCACATGTCTGGCGTGTCCCTGTCAGTTCCACAGACATGTCCCGTACCTGGTGGACGGCCTGTGGGATTCCGCGCCTGCCCTGGTCCAGAACTGGGAGTGTATGACTGCCTTGCTGCTGGAGCCACATGGCGGGCGCCGAGGTGAGTGAGCACAGCCCAGGCTGACCGGAGGCCCTGCTGCAAGTGTGGACTGTGGCAGGTGGCCCTGCCATCCCGTGGCCCCGAGTCCTCGTAGCCCTGCATCCTTGAAGTACTGTTGGAGTGTCTGAGACACCAGGGGCAGCATATGGGGCCAGGAGTGCTCTCAGTGACTCCCCCAGACTAAGGGCACCTTGTGGTGAAGGGGCCACCTGTGGCTGTGTCCCAGGTTAAGGGTCCTCAGGTCCTGAGAGGTGGGGGTCACAGGTGTTGGGTAGGGTCACAGGATGAGGGCCAAATTCTGGAAGAGGAACAGCCTTGGGGGCCTCTGAAGCCTCTGGAACAACCCTTCCCAGTCACATTCCTGTCTGGGTCCGTGGCCACCATACCACACTCCCCATGGTCACTGAACACGGGAGATACTGTGTCACGAGGACACCTCTTGTCCTCTGACCTGGGCTTTTGAGCTCAGCCGCATGGTCCCCTTGCCTCTTGGCTGTGAGCACCAGTTTCGTGGTCTGGCATATGGGCATACAGCAGCACTCACCCCAGGATGCAGGAGGCTCAACCGGAGGCCAGTTTAAGCCCCTGGTTTGGCGTCACAAATCACCACAAACCAGGGGCTTAAACCACAGGAATCCTCTTCTCTAGGTCTGGAGACCAGATGAGATCCAGGCGGGGCTCAGGCCCAGGTGGGGTGGGGCTTCCTCCTTCCCCAGGCTGCAGGGGAGGCTCCTTCCCGCTTCTTCCAGTGTCGGGAGGCTCCAGGTGGCCCTGCGCTCCATGCCGTGTCCCTCCCATCTCTGCCTCCATCTCCACGTGGCTTCCCCTCTGTGTCTGTGACTCTGCTCTTCTGTCTCTTATGAGGACACGTGTCATGGCTTTAGGGCCACCCTCATCCAGGACAACCTTATGTCAGATCCTGCACTTAATCCCATCTGCAGAGACCCTGTTTCCTAATAGGGTCCCATGCTGAGGTTCTGGGAGGACGTGAGCTCAGGGAGGCAGCAGTCCCTCTGGAACAATGCCCGTAGGATCTGGTGTGAGGCTTTAAGGGCTGTCGTATGTTGCTGAGAGCACACGTGGGACCGTCTTGGGCGCAGGGCTGTGCGCTGAGCCTCACGCTGGGTGGAAGGGCGAGGGTGGCTTTTGTCGTGTGTAGTTTGAGGAGAGGGCGGGCCCTGGTCGACATTGTCTGTGGACCCCACTGAGCCTGTGAGCCACGTGCTGGGGCGCAGATATGCCCATAAGACCCCGGCCATCCTCCTGTGTGTCTGGGCACACAGCAGGCTCCCGGAGAGCAGCGCGTGGCCCCAGAATGTTCTGCCTCCTGAAGGGCTTGGCATGGCTGACTGGGCCCCTGTCTACCTGCAGCGCTGACGAGCCGGCAGGAGCAAGTGCTCATCGAGATCCTCGTGGCGGCCGTGCGACAAGTCGCAGAGGGCCATCCACCCACTGGCCGCTGCCTGGGCAAGAGAGTCAGTGCCACCCTCGGCCAGACATGCTTCGTCCCCTGTGCTGGTCGCCCCGTTGCCGCTCTCGGCCCTGAGTGCCAGGGCTCTGGCTGCCACCGCCTCTGCGTGGCTGCCTGCTGTGGCTTCAGCCTTCTGCTTGCCACCCCAGCTGGCTGCTTGCTTGGGTGCTGGTCCTGCAGGCGGGGCTTCTGGGCACCCCGTCCAGGTGGGTCCCGTTGGCTCTACGTCACTGCTCATGCCCATCTGCCCTCTGCCAGTGGCCGCACCATCCGCCAGCTGGTTCCAATGTCTGTTGTCCGCCCTGTTGGGGAGGTTGCTCCGCATTCCTGTGTCCTGTGTGCTGCCCGCCACCTTGATGCAGCTGCACATAGCACTCAGTCAGCCTCCGTATGTGTGCTGGGGTGGCTGGGACAAAGGACCACACGATGGGGAGCTCAGCCCACAAGAATCATCTCCTCTAGGTCTGCAGACCAGATGTCTGAGGTCCGGGTGGAGCAGGGCCATGCTCTCTGCACAGGCTCCAGGGGAGGCTCCTTCCCACCTCTTCCAGCTTCTGGGGGCTGCAGGCAGCCCTGGACATGTGGCCAGGTCCCTCTAGCCTCTGCCTCTGTCTCCATGTGGCTTCTCAGAGCTCTCTTGTGTCTCTCTTTTTCTATTATGAGGACACCTGTCATTGCATTCAGGACCATCCTATCAAGTGACCTGGGAGGACAGGACTCAGCCCCTCACCACAGTTTCCTTTATTTGAAACAAAACACCAGAGAGTAGCAATTGAGAGCTTCCCTTTGATGTGGGGGCAGCTCTTCAGTGACTGGGCCATGTGGGGGGGGGGATTCTGAGGCCACCCTCAGACTTGTGGGTCAGTTGTGGGCTCAGGCTACACATGCTTCATCTGCAGGCCTCCAGGGAGTTGGACAAAGCCCACCACTGGTGTGATCACACTGACATGAGCCAACACTTTGTCAAGGTGCTGCCCCAGCTGCTGTCCAAGGTGCCCACGGGGGAAGGGCCCTGGGGTGGGCTGCCCAGGAGGCTGAGGGAGCCCCAGAGCAGAGCAGGCCAGGGGGCCACAGAAGCAGAGGGAGGCAGAGAATCCCCTTCATGCATGTGCTCTGGGCAGTTTGCAGCAGACAAAGAGAAGGTGACCCACCTCCTGCAGATCCCACAGTACTGCAACCTGCACATGTACGGCACAGATGGCCTGGACCCGGTGAGCAAGGGGAGCATGGCCCTCCTCCCAGGGGCAGGGTGGGGACACATCCCCCATTCCCGAGTGCCAGGAGTGGGGACAGTGACCCCTTCTAACGGAGGGTCTGGCAGGGAATAGGGTGGGATGGTGACTAGCCATCAGTGTCCATCACCATTCCTGCCATCCTCTGGAGGCCTGTGCCTCACCCCTCTGAGGACATGCTGGCATGTGCCATGCTGGCGCACTGCCCAGGGGCAGGGAGCCTGGCCTCTGTCCTGAAGGCTAGCATGCCTAGTCAGCACTAGCCCTGTGGCCGGGGTGGGTGTGAGGCCTGACAGGGAGGGGCAGGAGGGGTATGGTGTTGAGGCATGGGGACGGCGATCCCAGGCATTGCTGTGTGGGAGTCTGCTGCCAGACTGCAGGTCACCCCCCCGCTCTGATAATTGGCATGATTGCAGGCCCAGGATCTGATGGCATCTGCCATTGGAATGAGCTGCATGCACAAGCCTTGATGTCCTTTTTCTTTATGTGAACCATATGCTGTTATCAGGGCTGTGTTGTGGGGAACAGGGGCCAGGGGGCCCTGGCAGCTGGACTGGTGTGTTCTGTCCACATGTAGTGGCCGGCCACCCCCTGGTGAGCTCCTGTCATGCAGGGTCTGGCCCCCGTGTACACAGCTCCCATGACCTTTGTCCCCGGCCCCTGACCTTGCCCCGTGGCTCCTGGCTTGCCCTCATCTCTGCCTGCCACCTTCCGCAGCACCTGGATGCTGCCCTGCTGGAGCTGGACTGCCTGGTGCAGCGGCACTCGGACGTGGCGGTCCTGGAGGCCTGCGCCCAGGCCTACGGCAGCTACTGTGATGAGGGGGGCCCTGCTCACTGCCAGGCTGTCCCTGCCTGCAGCCGGCTGGTGGACATGCTGGTGGACATGCTGACCCCGCTGCTGGACGCGTTCATGCAACAGGAGGTGTGTGGATGTGGGGGTGGGGCTGTTGGGCGTGTGGATGTGCTGTAGGAGTGAGTAGGGGGTCACAAATGATCATGGCTTGTTGCTACCGGAGAGCCTCCCGGGAGCCCTGGAAGATGCAGCCTGCAGGCGTTTGGCTTGTCCACACTCGGTGCCAGGTGGTGTCTGTAAAGGACCACCTTGTACACATCTCGGGGTCGTCCTGCTCCTGTGTGAGAGCACCACACCCAAGGCTGCGAGGCCTGTGATCTGATGACACTTGGGACTGAGGCAGGCTGAGGGCCGCGTGACTCTGGGCTGGGTGTCCAGGGCCGGGCACCGTGAGGACCTGCTGCTCACCCTGGGCTCAGGCTCCTCATGCAACTGTGGCCCAGGGCTGGCCCTGAACTTGGGGTGCTGGGGGTTGGCCCTGTGCTGCCCACCTGTCTCCTCAGCTGTACAGTGAGCACCCGTCCCACGGTGCGGTCCTCTGAGACACCCAAAGCACAGGGCAGGGTGGGAAGGGCCTGGAGTGGGCGGCCTCAGCTCCTGTGTCTGCCTGTGAGCAGCACCCGCACGTCTGGCCTCGTCTTGCTTGTCTCCTGCAGAGCTGGAGGGAGATCAGCCAGCGGTTCTCCCTCCTTTACTGTTCTTAAGAGCCGCCTTCTGAAAAGTGGGAGGAGAGGTGTGGGTGCCAGGGAAGCCGGGGCTGAGGGCGCCCTGCCGGGAACACATCACCACCCTTCTTTCCCCGCCGTGCAGAAACAAGGTCTGTTCCCCAGACATGGCGAGGTGGTGCGGATCTGCTCCACGCTGCGCAGACTGGCTGCCTTCTACAGGTGAGCAGGTGGCGGCCAGCTCCCTGGGGGGTCACGCACGTCCCCCAAACTGCCTGCTGTCCTCACTTGGAAACACGGCCCCAATTCCCTGGTCCCGGTGGTGAGGAGGAGGACGCAGAGCTTGGGTGTGCAGGGGGGCCCTAGGCACTCAGAGTCCATCTGGGGCCCTGAGCCACATCCCCTGAGGCTGAGACAGAAGCCCCGGCTGGGCAGGTAGGTGCTGGACATCACAAGGCAGGGGACCCCCAGGCCTTCTGTGGCACGACCCCCTCAGTCTGCCAGGAGGGGTTCCCTCAGCTCCAGGGTCTGCTGAGCAGCATTAGTGGCCGCGGGCCCCTGAGACCCTGTGTTTCTGGCCAGTGCACACGACCTGAGCGGCTGGAACCTGTATGAGAAGGTGGACTGCCTGCTGACCTTCCGGAGGCAGCAGGGCAACCTGCCCACTGAGGTGAGGGCAGCCAGCTTTGGGGTTCCTGCCAGAAGTTTGGGGACCACAGTGAGGAGGATGCCCAGGGTGGAGTCACACCAGCATCCCCCGACTTGCACCCTGCAGGTGGTCCACTGTGCGCTCCAGTGCACCTACTATGCGCTCTTGTGGCAGATCGTTGCGGCCACAGACCGGCTGCCGCCCCAGGTGGGTAAGGGACCCGGTGGAGGTCAGGTGCAGGTGTGTGGCCCCGGGGAGATGGGGTATCAGGGGGACCAGTGTCCTAGCTTAGACAGGCACTTGTCATCCCGAGGGCAGGCTGGGCTTCGGGTCTGATGTGGTCACTGGATGTGGGCCATTGTCTGTCCACTGGTTGTGGGGTGAGGCTCAAATGATCTCTGAGCACCTGCCCCCATGCTGGCTGGCTGAACCCCCAGGACATGCTTACTGGCCAGTCTCCCGCATTGACGCCCATCAAAACATGGGTGTCTTTATGGGTTCCTGGAAAGTGCAGGTCAGAATTCCTCGTGATGGAGACTGGGATGGGAGGAGGGTGAGTATGGGGGTGCAGGGGATGCCCCTGTGCTTACCCTCCTGCTGTCTGACAGGAGGTGCTCCTGGGCCTGCGGAGTAGGCTGATGAAGTTCTGTCTGGTCTGCCGGGCGTACCTGGGCCACGAGAGCAAGGTGCTCAGCGAGAGGGTGGGTGTGCAGCTCTGTCCTCGCCGGCTTCCTAGGGTCGGGACAGCAAGAGGGAAGCTAAGAAGGCCCTGCCCGTGACAGTCAGTGTTTGGTGTTTCATGCGGAGGTGTTCACACATCTTCCACCATTTCTGGTACAATGATACCTTCCCTCACATGCTGTGAAGGCCCGTGAGCCCCAGTTTACAGGATCTCCTGTGAACTCTGTGTACACACACTTCCATGAGCACCATTTACACACACTGCCATGAAACCTGTTTGCATGTGCTCCTGTGAACCCCGTTTGCACGCACTCCATGGGCGCCCTCTACCTATGTACTGCATGCCTCCTGTTGGGTTTTCCTGTGTTGGGTGTGGTAAGACTTAAGTCCTGAGCGTGTCTTCAGGTGTTTCCACGGCTAATATCTTTGGAGGCTGATCAAAGTGAAGCTGCTCATTGACGAGTTTCACACAGTGGGACTGAGACACTGCTTCCCCCACCATTACTCGTGCCCGATGACGTTCCTGCCCCTTGAGCATTTGGGTGTTGATTTTAAAAAGAACCTCTACCAATTTCTTAGGTTGAGAATGTCTCCTTTTTGACCTTTGATGATGAGGAGGTTCTGTGTTGACCTCACCTGCTGCCATGTTGTCTGGTTTGTTGCGTGTGTCCGTCCCTAGTGTGTATGTCTTGGTGACGGTCCCGGCACTGGCCTTCCTGCTGTGATGTTGCAGCTGTTTCCTTGTGTGCTGTCTTTATGTTGTATGTATGTTGTATGTACCTTTGTCCTCTGCCTTGTGTGCTGGCATCTGAAAGGTCCTCTGATGTCACTAAACATCCCGTGCAGGTTCATTTGTGCGTCCATGTTTTGATCCTTCATCCTGTTTCATGTGCAGGGTTGGGCACAGGTGGGTGTATTTTCAAGGGATTGGCTGACGTCCTCCACCCCTTGCTGTGGGTATTGCCCAGCACTGTTGTGCACCCCACGGAAGGGCCAGGAGATCCTGGTTATAACTTGGGGTCAGAAGAGCTGCCCATGGAGGTGGATGCATGCCCACCCCCAACCCCCACCCCCGCCTGATCCCCAGGCTTTCATTCTGCTCTGTGACCTGCTGCTCATCCTGAGCCACCAGGGCCCAGAGGAGCACACGGGCCTCGGTCTACTCTTCTTCATCCCCAACCACGTCCTGCAGGGCAAGCTGATCGCCTTTGTCAGGGAGCATGTGTTCCTGGAGGAGGCGGGGCCCCCAGGTCAGTTCCCTGGTGCCAGGTTGGAGGTGGGCTAGGCCTCAGGGGGTGCCCTCTGTGGCTGTGGGGTGCCTGTCCCATCTGGGAGCTGCATTTCCCAGGAGTCCTTGGTTCACACAACCACAGGAGGTTCAGGAGCGCCCTGAATCTGGGTTCTGGGGACCTCAACCAGGTGAGCAGAATCAGGAATCCCAGGATCGCTGGCCATTCAGGTGCTTTCTGTGTGACACCCCAAGTGTCTGTTGGGGGCACGGGCGCCAAGGTGTCCACTGGCGGCCCCAGGAGAGGGTGTAGCACCTGAGCCCACCGTGGGTCTGGAGCATCCACCACCCCCTGTGCATGGCTGTCCCGTGAGCGTGGGAGCCACCGGGCAGATATAGCAGAGCCCGAGTGTCTCCCCAGGTTCCAGCAGGGTTTGCAAGGATGACACAGACAAGCTGGACAACCTATTCAGGAGGAGAAACATGCTGGCTGTGTTCTGTAAGCTGATTGTCTACAACGTGCTGGAGATGAACGCGGCGGCCGAGGTCTACCAGTTCTATCTGAAGGTCTGTGTGCTGTGGGTCCTGAGTTCACTCGCCCCTCCTTCCTGTTCTAACTTACCTTTCCTCCGTAAGATACACACTTGCAGTAACAGATTCCAGAAATATGGTGAACAGAAACGGGAAACATCCACCTACTTAGGCAGTGGCATTCTGAGACTTGCTTGTGGCATATCTGTCTTGTGATACAATGAAGACGTGAACCCTTTGTTATTTGCCAGTCTTTCCCTAGACTGCTTTCTAATTTTGTTTTATTTCTGGGACACATCTTTTTTTCCTTTTATACCTCAAACTCTCCTGAGTTTTCTGGTGCGGCCATAAGGGCACACTGTCAGTGGGCTTTTCCTCAGCCTCCTGTTGGTTGGGTTGGTTCTCTGCCACACACACAATGCGCCTTTTAAGCAGTCGTATGCTAAGCCTCAGTACATGCTGGCAGCCATGTTGGGGCACCTGCTCGCTGTCCAATATTTGGTCAGTTCTTGAAGCTGTGCATCCTGGCCTGGCTCAGCTGTGCATATTTACAGCCAGTGTGGTGCTGGCTTTGCTCCTCACCCCCATCATTCGTTCGGTGCCCTGCCCTCCCCATGGGTGCATCCCCCTGTTGGGCGGGGGGTGGATACAGCAGCCACTGGCCTGGGTCCACAGCTGAGCATGCAGCTGGCTGTGGCAATTGTGATGCCCAGTGGCTGGAGTGCCAGCTTTCCCAGGTCCCTGTTGGATGCCTGCCTGCTTACCTGGGGCCACATACTTGCCCAAGGCCCACCTGTAGTGCAAGGCCCACCTGCTTGGTGGCTAGTGCTGAGTGCACAGCGGGATTCAGTTCCTGGGATGTGAAGACAGTGTGACAGCTGTGTGTGACCCACGACGGTCTGTTTGATTTTGGAACCAGTCTGTGCTCAAGTACGACCATGGTTAACAATGCTCTTTTTAATTTACAGCATTACCACCATTTTGGTGACATTATTAAGGAGACGATCACCAGGACGAGGCAGAATGACAGACTCCGCAACGCCTTGTCCCTGCTCCTGTGCCTGCAGCAGGTGAGCGTGCTGTTCCGGAAGGTCTGACGGGACCCAAGGCCACTCCCAGGCACGTGCAGCCCCTGTGAGTGGCCCAGGCCTTCGGGATGGTGGGTGTTGTCAGGGACACTACTGGTCACAGGCACATGCCTGGTTACAGGCGCTGCTGCTCTTTCCTGCCTCAGGAATCACCCACCCAAGCTAGTGTGTGTTTGCAGCTTCTCAGGATGATGGTGTGCTCTGGTGCCTTAGCTTGGCAGCCGTAACAAATCCCATAGACGGGGTGGCTTAGACCCCAGGCACTTTGGTCTCTCAGTCCCAGAGGCTGCAAGTCTGAGATGGGTGCCAGCAGGGTCATGTTCTGGAGAGGGTCTCCTGTGTGCCCACGTGGTGGACAGCAGAGGGGAAGCATGCTCTCTGGATTTGAGGACTCTAAGCCCTTCATGGAGTCCCCACCCTGTGAATATATGTAGTCCTCATCAGCCCTTGGTATCCCAGGCAGACGGGTCTCTCGCCCACTGCCCTGGCCTGGGTGTGCCTGCACCTATTCCCCACGAGGTGGCCTTTCTAGCTGAGCTCAGGGACCTTGCTGCCTGCTGAGGCTGTACAGATGTAGGTAAGTTGAGGTCACTCTGTATGCCGTGAGGCCACCAGTTAGCTACAGGTGCTTTTTCCTGTGGGGCTGGGTTGGCCATTGCTGGGGACTGGTGTCCCTCAGGCTGGTGTGTGAGCACTCACTGTTTTCAGGTGAGTGGCAGACTGTGGCCCATCTTGTCATGAGGCCCCCAGGCACCTCTGTGCTGCCCCAAAAGTGACTCAGGTTGGAAATCTCATCTTCATTGTCACTTGTGAAGACATGGGAGGCCATGTCAGTTTTCCAAGTCAGATTCTTCTGTCTTTTCCCCAGATGCACAGAATCTGCCATGGAGACAGTCTGTTTTAGGCTGTGGTGCTGCCTCATTTTGTTCTCCAGACCCACGTGTCTGCCTCTCTCATCCTAAGTGGCCCCTGAGAAGTACTGGCAGATACTCCCATAAGCCCATGTTGGACTGATTAGGCACCACTGTAGTCTTGGAACTGTGGGAGGAGACCCTTCCATATTTTCTGTTTTGGGGATCGTGTGTCTTTCAGCTCTTTGTCCTCCGTGTTGTGGATGTGGTTCCATCACAGCTAACTGCTCAGTGGCTTCAGCTGTTCCCGGTGCTGCCGGGGTTTCTTCCGCTTTCTGTGCTTCTGTGGCTTATCAGGGCTGCCCTCTGAAAGCACCGAGTGTGTGTTTGCTGGCAATGCCTATGACCAGGTGCCTGTGGTCCAGGATGCAGCACCGTATCTGGGCTGAAGTGACCAGGTCTTTCCTAGATGACTGTTGGGCTCTGTCGGTGTTCTACTGGAACATGGGGTCCCTTTCCCAGCTCGGGAGGGAACACTGCCCACGTTCACGCTGAGGTCCCACACTGGATCTCATTTCTCCTGCGATTTGCTGCTTGGTTGGAACAGCCCCACTGTTCCCTTCTTGCTGTGGAAGGGCAGATGCTCATAAGATGGTCACATGATCCAGAATTCCAAAGAGCACATGTGGAGCGTGTGGGTCCGGCAGGCCCACCCTGTCCTGTGCAGGCATCTCTCACTGGGTGAATCGCGAGCGTGCATGTCTCCTGTGACATGGTATGGAGCCCTCACCTGGCAAGGCCCAGGGTGCCTCTGTTGGTGCAGGTGTGTGCTGGACACTTGCGGCTGCCCAGCCCCACTGTGGACTGGTGACCTGTGTACCGCTGCCCCTGTGCTTGGGGGGCTTCCTCACCAAGTCGGCCCTGTCATTGTCCACACACAGCCCAGCCACTCCCCAGCACAGATTCCCCAGATGGTCACTTGTCACCTTCCACCGTGGGGAGGGGGCAGGTGGAGGCTGGTGACACTGGTCTGGATTTTGGTGGGGGTGTTGCCAACTCTCCTCTGAAGTTTGGGGGTGTGGGAAAGGCCCCACCATGCCTCAGGACCTGACCCCATTGTGGGTCACCTACGCCTGGGCAGAGATGTAGGGCTCCGGCCTGCCGTGGGGGAGGGCAGCATCCCCAAGCGGTTCTCCAGACTCTGCAGGTCTGTTCCTGGTGAGCAGCAGGGAATCTGCAGATACAGACCCCGAGACTGGCACACGGCCGCCCAGCACCGGGACACAGAGTGCCCGGGAGCCCTGAGCCACGGACGAGGGTGTCCTCCAGCCTGCGGGTCATGGGGCAGGGCCGTGACCCCTCAGCCGCTTCCACCCCTGCCCTCGCCCCCACACCTGCTCCGGGACTCATGGCCGCCTGTCCTGCAGCTGTTCCAGAAGCACGCGGATGCCTGCGGCCTGGGCTTCAGCCCCGTGGAGTTCATATGCGGCCCTTTAGCGTCCATCCGCCTGCTCGCCCGCCGCCTGGCGCTCACGCTCGGCTTCGACCGAGCGCGTGACGCCGCCCACCTCATCCACAGGTGCGTGTGCGCGTGTGTGCGCGTGCGTGAGCGTGGGGGCCACCCTGCACTTGCGCAGGAAGCAGCCCCGCCTCCCCGTGGCGCCCGCGTCTGAGCCGCAATGCCCCGCCCCCCCGAGCCCGGCCTCCTTGATGCCCCGCCCCCTGGACCGCGCAGGCGCGGTCTGGCCTTCGCCTTCTCGGAGGCTCCGGAGCTGGAGCAGGGCCGTCTGCGTTTCCCCAACCTGGGCTTCCTGCTGCTGCTCGCCGAGTTCTCCTGCAAGATCCCGCAGGCCGAGCGCGGGGCCGCGTGAGTGCCGGGGTCCTGAGGGTATGGGGGCGGCCCCCCCGGAGCTGGGGGACCCGGAGGTGGGTTGGGCCCTGGGCTGGTCGGGGAGGCCTGTTCGGGGGCAGCTTTGGGTGGGTGGAGTCGGGTCTGCTGGCGGCGGGTAGTGAGCCCGGTGTGGGGGGCGGGGCAGGGAGGGAACCTCCAGTGGGGCCAGGTCCACGCGGGCTTGGGGTGCTGCATGTGGGTCGGCGGCACTGCCCCTGCTCCCTCTGAGCCCGCGGTGCCCCTGTGCCCCTTTCCCTCACGTAGTCCCCCAACCGAACGGGTCCTCTGTCACCTGCAGACTTGCCCACTTCCGGGACTCCATCCCCGAGGGCCTGCCCATCTTCGGGGAGGGCGACGTGGATCCCCTGGTGGTCTACCGCAAGTCCTTGATGAGGACGTATGACGTCTTCCCCGGGGAGAAGGAGCCCGCCGCCAACCCGTTTGACGCCATATGCAAGCACATCAAGCGTGCCCAAGGTGGGGAGGATGTTTCCTGGGAGTGGGGAGGATGACCCCAAGGAGGGGAGGAGGTCTGCGGGGTTGGGAGAATGTGTACTTGGGGTGGGATGACATGGCCCCCCATAGTGGGGAGGATGTCCCCCAGGTGGGATGTCTCTGCGCAGGGCTGTGCTGGGTCGGGGTGTGGTGCCCCAGGTGGGGATTTGCTGTTCCAACTGGGGTTGTGGTGTTGGGTGGGGAGGGTGCCACAGCTGATGCTCTTGACGCTGCAGAGCTGCCCATGGGGTCGTGCTCTGCTTGGACACCAGACACCTTGGCCAGCTCCACTGGGACAGATACAGAGCTGACAAACCATTCCCGGGGCGGCAAGTCCAAGAGGTGAGGTGTTGTGTCCATGGTAGGTTGGCCTGTGGGGCGTCCGCTGCATGATTGGAACGTCAGCCTCATGGTTTCTGACTTCTCGAGTGGAGCTCTGGGGTGGCAGCTGTCCCAAGGTGGGGCTGGCTAGTCAGTCAGGGACACTGGTCACAGGAGGGTCCCTGGGGGCTGGGACTGGGGAGGGACAGGTGCCTGGCATGGGCTGTGCGCCTGGGATGCAAGGGGCCCCTTCTGTCCCCCCATTTCCTACAGCTTGCAGGCACACTGTGGTGTGCCCAGAGGTGCTGGTGTCCACCTCCTCACCTCTTCCTCCACCTGGCCCCCTTTCTCCCTCCACTGTCACAGTGTCCCCCCCACCTTCCCACAGCCCTGCCAGTGTGTCCTCACCAGGGCTCCTGATCCCAAGTGGCCCCTGCTTCAGTCTGTCACAGGGACAGGGGCCCAAAAAGAGGCTGCATCCCCAGGGGACTGTCTGGTCTCACCCACTGACAGTACTCTGGGACTGACTTCATCTGCCCGCAGGGACATCTTTGATGCTGACTTCCTGTCGGACTCCGAGAGCTCCGACGAAGATATCGACGTGAAGCATGTGCCCACCCCAGAGGTACGTCCTGGAATGGGCCGCACGTCCTTTTCCTGCCACCACCTCCAGGCCCCGGTGGGGCAGGCGGTGTGCCTCAAGGCTGCTGTGCCTGGATGCGGGGTGAAAGCACGTTCCCTGCATGGTTGCTCTGGGACCGAGGGCCCTGTGTGGGTGTGTCACTGGGTGCCTGTTGTGTTGATACTTCCTGGGGGCCTAGCTCTGCAGGTGCTCTGGCCCATGTGGGCTCAAAATGGCCAAGGCTGAGTGTGATCCTTGAACCCAGGCCTGTGTGGCTCGGGACACTGATCTCAGAGCATCCTGGGTCGTTGGCCTTTTCTGGCTGCTGCCTGGCTGTCCCCAAGCCTGGCTGTGCATGAGCGAGAGCTGGGGTGCTCCTGGCAGGGAGAGTTCTGTAGCCACCTGGCAGCTCCTGCAGCAGGAGTGTGGGCTGGGCACCCTCTCTGTGTCCACAGTCCCTGTGACCCTGCAGGTTGTGGTAGTTTGGCGTTTGGGGACTTGCTGGTTGCCAACAGTCAGACCCAGAACTGTCTCCAACCTGCATGTCTGAGCCTGCCTACACCTGTCTGTGTCCACGGGCACTGAGGGTCTGCCCCGTCTGTCCCCAGGGGGTGTCTGACTGAGCAGGTCCTAGCTCTGGTGGCCTGTGTGAGGAGTGCCTGTCACCGTGGTGTCCCAGCCAGCTGTCCCTGGGTGGGGGAACCAGTGGCCTTGAGTGCAGCTGACCAGGGCCCCCGAGGCCTCCAGGCTGAAGGGCACTGACCCTGCTGTCTGCACCCATGGATCTGACCCCTATTCATGGGGACAGGGCTTTGCAGCTGTGAAGTGGGGGCCTTTGGCGTGCCCACTTGCCCACCCAGGTGCCTTTCCCCCCATGGCTTCCTTGCTGGACTCACCGATGACCACTCTCCACTGGGAAGGAAAATTCCAGAACCAGCTCTCCCCCAGCAGTTGGGTAGGGAGCTGGCTCCCTTGTCTCATGACAGCCCCGGTCGTGTGTGGGCTGTGGGCTCCCCCTCTTGTTGCTCAGGGCCTGAGTGCTGGAGGGTTGTCTCCAGTGCTGTTGCCCAGCTGCAAGGGAGGGAGGCTCCCCTGGGTGTCTGCTCAGTGCATGGATGTTGCAGAGAAGTTGGTAGAGCCTGACTGGGGCAGGAGGGCCACGGCAGCTGGTCAGTGCCCTTTCCTGGGCACGCATAGTGGGACCACTCCTCACTCCATATCTCATGCTGGTGCCAAACAGCCTCCCCTCACAGCAGAGTGGACGTTGAGGGTCTCTGCTGTCCTGCCTAGGGGACTCCCTTGGCCCTCACCCCAATGGGAGCTGCACATCCTTGTGTGGGCCGGTTCCACAGGGCCTCTGCACCAAGTGGGTTAGGACATTGCTGCCTGAGGCATGGAGGGGTAGGGGGTCCTCAGGCTGTGTCCCCTGTCCTCCCAAAGCTTTGGGAGCTGGAAGAATGGCCTATAGGGTGGCTCTTGGGTCCCTGTGGCCAGAATGCAGGCCCCACGGCTGAGGAGAGCTAGGCTGCAGAAGCTCTCAGGGCCTGTGACCTTGGCTGGGGTTCCTGCCCCTAAAGGCCATCATGTCCCGTGGAGGCCCCAGCGCATCACTGTGTCCCTTGTGAGCCATGCTGCTGTGTGTCCACATCGTGGGAGCTGAGCCCGCACCAGAAAACCCTGAAGTTCTTTATTGAAAATGCAAACGTGAATCTGTAAGACGTTTTAAAACTGCTCTACATGACAAATAAAAGCTAACTTTACACGTTCTGTGCATTGACATAAAAACGTTCCAATAATTTTGAGGGGACCCCTGCACCCCGTGTGAAGGGCACAGTGCCCAAAATTCACATGCAGACAGAAGGCTCCTGCTGCTGCGGCTCCTGGAACATTCCAGACTAGATGGCGAATGCAGCACACGTCTGGAGGTCTGGGGTCAGCATGTGCCACATGGCCCCCAGGGCAGACCCTCCCGGGGAGACCAGTTCCCCTCCAGGTCGTTGGCCAGGACGGTGAGTCTCCGATGGCTTAGCCAAAAATGAGTGTGCGGGCCACGGGCACCTGGTTTGGGGAGGGTTTTCCCCAGGGCCAGCATGTCAGCCCTTCCAAGGTGGCTGACGCTCCAGTGACCTGTGACCAGCTTTGTGCTGAATAAATACATCTGTCATTCCATACACACGCACCTCGTTTTCTGTAAAAGCTCAACAAACGGTTTCGTTCTCTGACACAAAAGCTGCACAGGGAGTCCCATGTGGGCGCAGGTCACGAGGGCGGCAGGTCATCATCCCCACACTCACACAGGTCGATGGTGCCCAGAGTGGACGGCACCTCAAAGAAGGGCCTCTGGGCCAGTGGAGACCGCAGCATGCTCAGCTTCTGGTCCACGGGGCTGAGCTCGGCTTCGTACCTGCAAGGAGGGGCTGGGTGAGATCGTGGGCGCAGAGTGGGGGCAGCCCCCCCCTGCAATCAGAGCAGCATATCTGCCCCTGTAGGCACTGCCCGTGGGCCCAGCGGCTCCCCGATCAGTGTATGCAGCAGCTCAAGGGAACATGGGGCCCAAGATATCACTGGTGGATGGCACCCCAGGCAGCTTGAGCAAACGGGGGAGGAGCAACTCTGCTGCGCTCTAGGGGGGGTCAGCATTTCCTGAGACCAAAATGAGACAGTGCCACAGGATCACCAGCGATCCCGTCAAGTGAACCCCAAAAACAGAAAAGGGCGACAGGTCTCATTTCCAGGCAGGGTTCCTGTTGGGAAGGAAGGCTGCTGCCACCACAAGTCACTCAGCTCACGGACCCACCGACGGTAGAAGGGAAACCCATCAGCCAAGAGCATGTGACCAAATTCAGTACTCGGTCTCAGCAGAGTGGGAGTAGGAAGGACTGTCCTCCGGCTGCTGAAGGACGTATGGATAGCCCGTCAGCGAACTCCGTGCTTCGCGGTGGATGAAGGGGACGTCCCACCTCAGCTTGGGAAGCGAGGCAAGGCCGTCACCCTCAGCGCTTGATCCAGGCCTGTCCTGGGTGAGCTGGGAGGTGCACGGGGAGGAGAGGAGGACTACGGCTGCCTGCGCTCGGGCGGTGAGGTCAGTGCAGAGCGCGGGGCAGGCACTGCCGACAGAGAGGCCCTGTTCTAAAGCGACTTTCCAATACCAAAGACTACCGCGTACCCTAGAAATCTCCCCAGATACATGCAAGATTCATATGCTGGAAACGACACAAGAGATGGGAGACATCAGAGAAGAGCTCAGTGAATGGAGAGATGGTGTGTTTGTGGGCCAGGAGACGCAGGGTCAGTAAGGTTCCAAGTGTCCCACATGGGCTCCCTTCCCCAGAACCGCAGCGCCCCCATGCGGTCCTCTGTAGGAACACTACTCCCATGTAGAGGCAAAGGGACCAGAAATACCAGCAGGGCGTTGAAAGAGGGAGCTGGCAGGATCTCATCCCACGGCTGCTGAGCTCCTGAAATCAGGGCTGGGTGGCTGTGACAACAGTCACACGGATCAGTGGGACAGGCGGTCCCCAAATGCGTCTCACAGCCGTGGGGCCATGGTGCCGACTGTCACCCCCGGCAACTCAGCCGAGTCCGGTTGGGGTGCCTGGGGCCTTGCTTTGCCATCTCACTTCTCGCATGAAGCTGTAGCAACACACATGCTGCCGTGTGCCAGAGGCACACCGTGAGGTTCAGCGCGCACATGGCCCTGGTGTGCCATCCGTAAGGACGCCAAGCCAATTTGACAGCTTTCCTACAACAGTGTGGGGAAACCGGGTGTCCACACGCATGGAAAAGCACCCCATGGGAAGTGGGAGCACCAGAGGCCTGAATGTGAGCGTAAAACACTAAGACTTCTAGAAGAAAACCTCCACGGACGAGGCGGTGGTTTCCAACGTGTGACAGCAAACACAGGCTGTGGGGACCACGCACTGATAAAGGCCACTTCATGAGGATGAAGGCTGGCTCCTCTCCGAAACACTGCGGTGGGAGGACAAAAGCGTGCCACCAGTAGGGAGGAGACGGGATGCCCTGTTCCTGACGGCAGGTGCGTCTAGGAGGTACAGAGAGCCCTTACCACGCGAGGAGGGGACAGTGCACAACTGGGCGCTGACGAAGGATGCAGCCCTTCACCAAGATGACTGACCGCGAGCAAGGACAGGCACGGGCACTGCCTCCTCAGCAAAGGCGCGGCAGTTGAAGACAAGCGGTACTCCACAGTGCCAGGAGGGGGAACCCTCGTGGGGCCGCAGGGTGCTGTGGCCAAGACACATGGGCAGCGCCAAGAAGGTAAGGCTCCTCCCATGTGAAGTGCCATCTCACTCCGAAGGATGGAGCCAAGAGAAGGGAAAGCTCAGGTTCCCAGAAAGCCAGTGTGTGAATGTTCACAGCGGTGTGATTCCCCTGAAACTGGGAAGGTGGCAAACCACCCAGGCCCTTTGCCTGGTAAGCCCCGTGGCCACCCGTGCGTCAGAGCGCTGCCCAGCCACACCGTGAATTGCAAACGCCCTGTGAGATTGCATTTCTGGATGTTCTGGAAAAGGGAATCCCAAAGCACAGAGTAGCACTTGCCGGGTGGTGAAGGGAGAGGGCTTTGGGGTGCTGGCCTACCGATTCTGGAACTATCCAGGGGTGGCAGGAGGCACTGTTACCGAACCAGCAGCGCCCATGGGGAGACACCATCCTGCATGTGGCAGCGTCAACGCTTCCCATGGGAACCCGGGTGTGGCCGTGCTTGTTGGCACAGCGCCAGCACCGACACCCACCCCTCCCCAGACCGGCCACAGGCCTGGGAGCCACACACCCACTCCCGCCCGCACCTGGCCTGCACGCTGCGAGCCCGGGATGGAGTGTCCCACCAAATGTGTTACGGGCACAGGAGAAGGCAGTCTGTCTGGGGGCCTGACAGCAGATGTGGAACTAAGCTGAGGTGCCCATGTGGGCGGGGAGGGGCAGACGCTGGGCCCTGGGCTGCCTTGGGAGGCCCCAGGACAAGCAGGCAGCTCCAGCCAGACGTCACACAGGCCTTCTGGGGCCGCAGCTGGACAGAGGACACCCGCCCGCCTCCGTCCCCACCCACTGCCCTTCTCACGCTTGTCACGGGTGCTCCAAGGGGCACTCAGCAGCACCACCCGCCTCCACTGGACTGCCCAGGCCCTTCTGAAGGGGCCTTCTGGGTGAGGTGGGTGTGGGGAAGGGGGTGCCTGCTGCCTATCTGCCACCCATCCACATCCCCAGCCTGGTCCCCACACCTCTCTTCTGCATGCTCCCAGCCCCCACTCGCACATGAGAAGGCAGTGCGCGTCCTGGGTCCCCCGGGTCCCCACTCACCCGTCCCCCCACGACTCCCCTGCAGCCTCCTCGGCCACAAGGATGTCGTACTCCTCGGCGGCGTACTTCTCCCAGTCTGAGAGCTCGGGGCCTTCACTCTCGCTCTCCTGGAGGAACACAGGTCAGGGCTGCGGAGGCGGAGCGCTCACCCCACCCCCGTGCGTGCCCGTCACCCTGCCCCGCCCCCTGCGCTCACCCTGAGCAGGGAGACCTGCTCTCTCTGCTCGTGGTCCAGGTACTTCTCGACGTTGAAGAACGTATCGAAGAAGACGTAGGCCAGCTTACACTTCTTGAGGTCACCCAGCGAGATCCGCCCTGTGTGCAGGGAGCACTTACTGCCAGGAGGGCTTGGGCCCAGCGTGCCCTGGCAATCCACCTTCATGAGCACCCTGTGCTCTGACAATGCCACGGACAGAGGAGGCCTTCGAGGTGGCTCTCCGTGAGCAGTGGAGCAGGGCCCCGAGGATCTAAGCCCACACAGGTGGAGGGGGCACAAGGACACAAGCTCTGGCTGCCAGGGCACTCCCAGCAGATCACATGAGCTGCCAGACGTACACACACTGACCGGGAGGGGCCCAGTCAGGGCGGGGGTCCAGGCCAGTCGGCTACAATGCCCCCGACGAGGATTACCAAACACAGGCACAACAGTAACTGAGGTGTCTGAGTTCACGGGACAACTCCCTGTGTTCCTTTGACCTTGGGGGGTGTCCCATGTCCCAACGTGGGCAGCTATCCACCCTCTTGGGCACAGCCTTCTCAGCTGTGTGGCAGGACAACCCCATCAACCCAGGGGTCCTGGCCACAGGGGGAGGGACGTACAAGTCTGGGACTCGAGCTGGTGGCAGGGGACCCAGGCTAGAGCTCCCCGAAGATGCCAGGAGCACAGGCAGGGGGACTTGCACGTGTGGTCAGGACACCCACCTCCTGGCCCTGGAAGGTATGTGTGCTCCCCATACAGGACAAGACCCCAGCATGGGGTGGGGGTGCTGAGGGGTCACATGGGGGCTGAGGAGGACAGGCAGGGCCGGACACACCGTGCTGCTCAGCACTTAGTGACTGGCCCCGACAAAGCTGATGTCCCATGTGATGACACTAGCTCACCTGCCCAGGGTGCTATTGGCGGTGACAGGGGGACCAGTCCCCCTGAGGCCCTGCTCACCCTTGACACCAGCTCAGTGGGGATGGCTGTGCCCTGGTGGGCGCCCCCTCACGGAACCCTGTCTCACACAGAGGCATGCCTCACCTCATACAGGGGCTGCCCTATCTCACATGAGGGTGTCCCTTCTTAAACAAAGGGGTGTGCTCCACCTCACCCACGGCACCCCATCTCTAACACAGGGCGCCACACCTCACACACGGTGGTGCCACTTCTTACACTGACTTACGGGAGGCCCCATCACACATGTGAGCTGCCCCGTCTGACACGTGGGCCATTACCTTCCCGCTGGGGCTTCACCAGGTCCAGCATCTGGCAGAGGCAGTCCTCGAAGGGCAGGGCCTCGATGGCCATGCTGTCCAGCCTGCGGCACTGCTCCTCATAGAAGTACTGCAGCTCGAACATGGACAGGGCCCCGTCGCCGTCCAGGTCCATGCAGCGGAACCAGTACTCGATGCTGCCGTCAGCGCCAGTCAGTGAGGGCCTCGGGCAGCCTGGCCACCCAGGACGGACCTCGCGGGGGACCGGCCACCCCCAGATGGACCCCTTCCGGGCTCCCTGCCTGGGGGGTGCCCCACCCAGGACTGACCGCACCCAGATGGACCCTCAAGGATGACCGCTCATCCACGGCTCCCGATGTTCCAGCAGGTGAAGCGCAGGCAGCTGCCGAGCACCTACCTGGTTGGGGTGTTTTTGTCTTCTTCGGAGATCAGAAACCACACAAAGTCAGCGTAGCTCATCTTCCCTTCCTTCTGTACGCTTCTGCCTCTGAGTTCAGGGCCAGCACGGGAGCCAGAGATGTGAGTGAGGAGGAGCAGCACGCGCCAGGAAGGCCGTGCCCGCCTCCCCTGGGTGAGTAGGGCCTACGTTTGCTCAATCCCACGTGGTTCCTACTTGACAGGAAGTCTGAGGGTGTGAGCAGCTGTGCGACCCCAAAGGTGGTTCCCCGGGGTCCCGGGAGGGGCAGGAGCAGCTGCCACTGCTGAGTCACCACTACCTGCCAGCCTCTGATGCCTGGACTCTAGTGCTCACTCGGACGCCCAGGGCCTGACTTGGACCCCTGACACGGGGCCCGTGTCCCCCCTTCCGGGTGATGCCAGGGACAGAGATGTGCATGTGCCTTACTAACGGCATCACGTGACAATGTGTTCTCCCTTATGGCCTCGTTGGTGGCACCACTCGGAACACACACCCGTGTCAGGACCTGAGCTGGAACTAGCTCAGGCACAGAAAACTGGCCACTGTCATGAGAGGGAAGACCAAGAAGCAGTGAGTTGGCACGTACCGCGTCACGGCTCCTGAGAATATCCTCTCGATCATCTTGGTGGATATAGCTGCAAAGAAGGACCAGGCCGTGAGCCCCTGCAGGGCGGTCCTGGCCCGTGGCCCCAGAACAGGTGGGCGGGCTGAGGGCTGAAATGCTGAGAGCCAGGCCTGGTCGGGGCGGAGCTGGGGGATGTGAAGCCCCCAGCACATGCCTGTCCACTGAGCTTTCCCATCCTGGGGGCTGAGCCCAAATGCGAGTCACAGGTGAAAAGCCGCTGTGGCTCCAAGGCAGGAGAAGCCCGTGAGGAGCGCAACACGCCTGCGTTCACCCCCAGGTGTCTGCTTCCCGACACTGTCACTGCGACTGGTCAGAGCAAACGTGCACCTCAGCTAACACCCAACTCACAGGCAGGAGTGCTGGAGGACACGTAATAGTTTCCTGGGCCACTGTAACCACCACCGACCACGGGCTTTAAGAAGACACGTCCCCCATCCTGGAGGCTGGACCCCGAGGTCCAGCTGTGGGTGGGGCTGGGCCTCCTGAGCCTTCCCGCTGGGTGTGTGGACACCGTCTTCTCCCTGTGTCCTCAGGGGGTTGCTCCTGTGTGTCTGTGTCCTCATCTCCTCTTATAGGGACACAAGTACTATGGGATCAGGGCCCACCCTATGGTCTCATTTTACCTTCATCCCCTCTTTAAAGGCCCTCTCCAAATACAGCCCCATTCTGAGGTCCTGGGGTGAGTGCTTCATTCCACAAATCTGGGGGGACACAGTTCAGCCCATACTAAGCATATGCCCACAAGATAGGGAAATAAAGACAGTCTTTTCCCCTAACCTCCACTTCACCCTAACTCAATGAAAGTCACCCCTAATGGAAAATGCCTGTATGTGTCAGAGTTTGAATTGTGTCTTCTGAGAAGACACATCCATGTCCTGACTCCTGGAACTTGTGAAAAGGACCTTATGAGGAGATAAGGGTCTCTGCAGATTTGACTAAGTGAAGAATTGGAGATGAGGTCGTCCTGGATTAGGTGCCGTCATCAAAAACAGATAAGGAGACACACAGACACAGGAGAAGTGACATGGACATGGAGGCAGTGATGGGAGGGACAAGCCCAGGGCTGCCTGGAGCCCCCAGAAGCTGGAAGAGGCAGGGAAGAGCCTCCCCTGGAGCCTGGGGAGGGAGCAGGCCCTGCGCCGCCTGGACCTCAGACACTTGGTCTCCAGAGCTGGGGCAGAATAAATCTGTTGTTTTAATCCATGGAGTCTGTGGCAAGTTACAGCAACCTCTGCAGAGTCTTGCACACCCCTCCTGGGTGACAAGCCCTCATAAACTCCTTCATATTGGACTCCTGGCTGTGAGAGGACAATACCCTGCTGTTTCAGTCAGAGCAGCCCCAGGGAACTAGCACAGCTGACCCAGATTCCCATGTCCAGTGATCTGCAAACAGAGCACCACAGGAACCCCCCATCCCCACCCCCCACCTGGGCTGCACAGGACAGGGTCAGCACTGACTGCTTGCTCCTGTATTCTGTGAGGCCAGTCCCATTGCTGCTTGAGAAGAAGCCCCTTTCAGCTTTTGAAACTGGCCCAAATGGGAGGGATGTATCATGGCACCCGTATCACCATGTGGATTGTTCTGCAAGGCACTGAGTGTCCCGTCCAGGCCAAGACCACTGTCCCACAGTTACTGGTATTCTAAGGGCAGACGAGACCATGATGCCAGTAGCTTCAAGCCCTGCTTGTTGACAAACCCTCAAGGCAGACCTCGTGAGAGCGTCTGGGTGTGATGCTTCAGTGCACGGGGCAGGAGGCCACAGGGTCAGGGCCAGGCTGCAGGGACCTGGGACCAGGGCTGGGGAGCTGGAGGGCCTGTGGGCTGGGTTGATGTCATCTGGGCAAACTGTGTGCCCAGCCCCCACGGGCTGATCCTGGAGCCCATGCCAGAACTGAGATGCGTGGTGAGTTTAGGGATGATACTGCCCGGGGCACAATGCCAGGCAGAGAGACAGAGAGGAGATAAGCCCAGAGAGCTGGTGTCTGGGAAACGCTGCACAGAACACCACCACAAATAAAGCAGATGCCCAGCGGGGCTCAGAAATTCTCTCATGGATGTGGTTATTAGGAAAAATCACATGAGAAGGTGCGAGAGTAAGGAAATCTGTCAGGAAACTTAAAACCCCGAAGGCATACTTAAATTCCAGCTGATCTATGTACTAGGAATTTTGACCTCTTGCAATATAAAGTAGAACGACCTAACTTTCCTGCTAAGGAAACACCCACACAGGATTCTTTCCCACCACGTCTGAATTGTGAGGAGGCCTAAAATTAACCTGCCTGGCCCTCTGTGCTGAGAACGGACAGAAGCCCACAGAGCTCTGCTGTTAGGGCAGGAAATGAGGCTCAGAGAAAAAGGCATCTGGGCGCTGAGCGGTCATCGCGGGCACCAGGCTCACGCTCCTCTGGGTTCTGGACGCAGCACCCTTCCAGACCCTGCCCGCCCAGAACCGGCTGTTTGCTGTCCCAGCACAGCGCCCAGCTGCATCCTCGCGGAGAGGCCGGCCCACAGACAGGCCCCCCGCAGCCCCCGCGCCGGAACTGCAGGGACCCAGGAAGGAGAGGAAGCAGGAGACAGGCTGGGTAGGGACAGGCCTTCAGCTCCCCTGCTGAGCAGGTGTTCGCTCAGCTGTGCGAGTGGGTGCTGGAGCTCACTGAGCTGTACCCGGGGGCTTTGCCAAGTTAGGGCTCACCCAGCAGACCTGGCGTGAACCTCACGGTGGGGGAAGGGCAGTCCCTCCACACGTGGGGAAAACCACCAGCTGGAGGACACCGCGGGAAGGAACTAGGTGGGCAGGGCGGGTGAGGAAGGATGCGGCACGTGGAGCTGGTGCTGCCAGGACAGGGCCCACCCCCGGACCCTGCAGGGAGGCTGTCCCGCTCCCTGCACTCAGAACCCACATAAGCCACCAGTGTCCCTGCAATGACAGGCCACTCCTAGAGGCCGGGGCTGCAGGGCGGGGGCGGGCTGCAGGCGGAGTAGCCCAAGTGGGGCTGTGGAGGAGGCATGGGTGGGCAGTCAGGGTGCGTCGGGCTAAGGGAGGCACCGGCACGGGAGCTGTGCACCCGCCCCAGCCACATGCTCACCGTGGTCGTTGTGGCGAGCCAGGTCCTGGGCATCAATGAGGAGATCGTGGTCTGTGTCCAGCTCCCAGAACTTGCAGTAAATGACGTAGAAGTGCTCGTAGGAGAAGTACTCTGTCAGCTGGTTGATGTCCGCTTCCTCCTCCAGGAGGGCCACATTCTGCGGGCAAACCGAGGAAACCACTGCCTTCCCTGGGGTGCAGGCTTTTGTCCTGCGACCCCCCAGGTGTCTCTCGTTGAGCACGGATGGTTCAGAGCTCGTCAGGATTGCGATGACTGGGAGCAGGGGTGCACCTGCTTGGGTGGCACTCTAGTTTGGGAGCCCCTGGGTAGGGGCTGCCCCGAGGCTTGGCCTGGCTGCCCACCAGTAGTACACTGTGGCCCTGCAGCTTGCACCCTCTCATCCCGCGTACACTGACATGGGCAGGTCATTCTAAGGCCACGTGTTTACAGAACCTGTGCACAGAGGGCAGGCGTGTGAGTGGAGGACTGTGTACGGGGCAACTGGGAGGCCGTGTGCTCCTGCTGGCCCGCCGGGGCCTACCTGCAGGAAGGTGCTCCTTCGGAGCTCCGCGCACGTGATTCTCCCGGTCCAGGACCTGTTGACCGTGTAGAAGATCCTCTGTATGACCTGCAGGAGGAGGCGGGACTTGGGCCGAGACCGGGAGCTGCAGGGCCCCGCGCCGCCAGCAGAGGGCGTCCGCCACACACAGCTGGGCAGGCGGGTGAGGGAGGGGGCGGAGCCAGGCCCGGAGGTGTCCCGAGGGGCTGCCCCCAGCCCCCACAGGGGCCTGCCCAAACCACACTCAGACGGACACCCCTGAGCGGGGAAGGGGTGGCGTGGACGGGAGCGGAGGGTGGAAGTCGCACAGCGGGGTTTTGTAAAGACCAGCTCTGAACACATCCACACCTGACTCACCCCTGGATGAAAAGCTGAAGTTTAAGGTTGGAGAGAGGCCCAAAAGGCTTAGTCAGCTCTGGACTCAGATGGGGATGCCCTCCTTCAGGGCACCCTCCCGCTCTCCCCACCAACCCCACGCCTTCCCTTCCCCTGGGGTCCCCTCCCGCTCTCCCCCCCACCCCACGCCTTCCCCTCCCCTGCAGGGCAGCAGCGGGCGGTCTGCACAAAGCCCGTTCATGTTCTGCAGTCAGTGACTCATACAACACAATTCCGATCGCCTTGCTTCAATGAGCCGAGGCCAGCACAGGGGAGCAAGGATAGTGGGGCAGACACGGGGCTCCCCCATGTGAACTCCGTGTGTTACAGGGCAGACCAGCGCGCGGAGGCATGGGCCCTGCCATGCATTTCATACGCAGTCTCAGGACACGGGAGTGGGTGCCCATTGCGCAGCAGGAGCGTGGGACGCCCCCCAGGCTGCCTGGGCCTGCGGGTGCAGTGAGGTGCGGCTGTGAATGCGGGGGCCATGTGACTACAGCTGCAGCTGAATGAGGCTACAGGTGTGCCATGGGCGCATGCAGATGCGGGTGCAGGTTCGGGGGGCTTGCGCCTGCACGCTGCCCAGCGGGGGAGGCCGCGGGCAGGGCAGTACTCTCGGAAGCAGAAGGGCCCCTCCCTGCCTGGGGGAGCCAGCAGGGTCTGCTGGCTGCTGCCGGTGCGCAGACCCCCTCTCAGAGAGCTCACTGGGCTCCAGGCCAGGTACAGACCCCTCACTCCCTGCTCCAGGGATGAAGGGCTGGCTGTGGGGCACGTATACTCACAGTGGTGATGTAGCGAGAGTGGAACTCCGCAGCCTCCCTCAAAAAGGCCAAGCCGGGATGAGTGTTCACCACGTCCTGCACATAGGAAACAAGAGACCTCGTGGACACGCAGGACTCCGGAGCACCCACCCTTTCTGAATACACCCTGCAGGTCCTGCACCAAGGGGTGAATAAGACATTCCAGCCAGGGCACTGCTGCCCGAAATCATGCTGTGCAATTGTGAACAACCATTAACCCTCCCGCTAAGAGTACAGGACAGCTACTGATGGCCCCTCACCACCCGGTACCTGGACTTGCAGAAACATGGAGGGCCAAACACAGCAGCCCATTTGATTTGTGACACATGCTCATTTTATCGAGGGTTATAGTCATGCCAACCCTGTGAATCACTTCCACTCAAAGCTCTGGTGATTCCCGCACTTGGAGGTGGGTGTCCAGGGACTCCTCACCACCAGTCGCCTTGGACCCCCACCCACTGTGGAGTGCGCGCTCCCATGCACAGAGTAGGAATGTCCTGTGGACACGCTCCTGTGCACAGAGCAGGAATGCCATGTGGAGACCCTTTTCTGCAGCTCCCCAACCTGCTTCTACGTAGGAAGAGGGGCCGCAGTGGTGCTAATCTGTTGTCTCCAAGACTCCACGTTCTGTGGGTTTGTGGCCTGGGAAGTGTCTGCCCACCACACTCGGGTGGGTGTTCCTCAAACCATCTTTCCTGGAAGCAGTGCCCGAGGAAGGGCAGCCAGACTCATGTGTACATGCCTGTGTGTGGTGTAGACCTGCAGGCAGCACAGGAGAGGGAGGGGTGCCGTATAGACGTGGGAACCCACAGTGGGAAGGAGGGCTGCAGTGCAGGCCTGGGAACGCACCTGCAGAAAGGGGATGAAGTCCTCCTGCACCAGGTAGTTGCAGCCGGGGCTCCCAAGCAGGTGGAGGAACCTGGCAGCGGCGTCATGGCAGGTGTGCAGGATCCTGGGGGACAGGGGCCCAGCTTCCTCGCATGTGCCCACAGGCCCCTCCCAGGTAGGGCGGAGACACTCTGCCGCGAGGGGTGCAACCAAGTGGCTCAGGGGCAGGAGTGAGAGGCCGGGGTGGAGAGCCAGGCACGGCCACCGGGATGGGGACCCGCTGCCCTGCCCTCGCCCACTCCCTGGGTCAGGCCCAGACTCACTTTCTCCACATGGCAACGAACTTGTGGACGGAGACAGAGCCCGTGCGCTCTCCCCCTGCGCCACAGAAAAGCGGCGCCTTCCAGTACAGCGGGCAGCCACAAGCCTGCAGCAGAGTGGGCAGGACAGCGGTTAGCATGGCTAACCCACCGCTGGCTCCCCAAGGACGAACAAAGTGAACCGCTGCTGCAGAGAACCCAACATTCAGAACAGGAGGCATGTCAGAGGTGAGCTCATGGGTTCTGCAAAATGCAAAGTGTGTTCATTCCTGCACCCTAGGGTCAGTAACACGTGCTCATCCCAGCGGTCACATAGGTGACAGCAACACAGTCTGGGACACAGAACACCAGCCTGAGCAGGGGACAGTCAGCAACCATAACAGCAGGCCTGGCGAGTCCCCAAACTCTGGAAACTAAGCAGCGTAAGTGAGGGGACCCTGGGAAGTTAGACTAGAGAATATTTTGAGAGCAATAATGGAAATGTCCCATATGCAAACTTATAGGACACGGCAATATCAGGACTAACTTTTATAGCTTTAAATAGACATACCAGGAAAGGGGAAGGCTGAAAACTGGCAACCTAAGCTTCCATCTCAAAAAGTAAGGAAGAAAACACACAGCCGCTGTGAAAGATAAAGCTGGTACCAGCAGCAAAGCTCAGCAACACAAAGGCCAGCTCTTCAAAAAGGGGCTTAAAGCTCAATGCAATTTAGCGATGTCAGCCACCAGTGCAGACCCCACCAGTGGTAAGAACACAGGAAGTGGACACAAGTGACTTTATGCCAATAAATATGACAACTTCGGTGACACAGACACATGCCTTGATTAATGTGTCAAACCACAACAAACACACGGAGAATGTGAACACTACACACTTCCAGAAATTGAATCTGAGATTTAAAACTCACACAAAATTTCAAACCCAACGGGCTTCACCAGTAAATTCTTATAAACATTTAGGGAAGAAATTGTATTAACTGTATACAAACTCTTTCAAAGAATAAACATAAAGGACGTCTCTCAGTTCTTGCTACGAGGCCAGCATGTCCCAGATACTGAAGCCTGTCAAGGACGCAAGGAGACTCACAGGCCAGTCATCTCTCAAGGGCACAGGCACAAAAATCCTGCACAGAACGCATGTGAGCAAAGTGAGATCAGCAATACAAAAAAAAACCCATTAATTAAAAACCAACAGACCAGGAAACTAGGAATAGAATAAAGCTCTTCCAAAGAACTCACCTGCCTCAACACCCAAAAAACAAATAACCCTATTAAAAAATGGGCAGAGGATATGAACAGACAGTTCTCCAAAGAAGAAATTCAGATGGCCAATAGGCACATGAAAAGATGCTCCACATTGCTAATTATCAGGGAAATGAAAATTAAAACCACAATGAGATGTCACCTCACACCAGTTAGGATGGCCAACACAGAAAAGACTAAGAACAACAAATGCTGGCGAGGATGCGGAGAAAGGGGAACCCTCCTACACTGCTGGTGGGAATGTAAACTAGTTCAACCACTGTGGAAAGCAGTATGGAGGTTCCTCAAAACACTAAAAATAGAAATACCATTTGACCCAGAAGTTCCACTCCTAGGAATTTACCCTAAGAATGCAGGATCTCAGTTTGAAAAAGACAGATGCACCCCTATGTTTATCGCAGCACTATTTACAGTAGCCAAGAAATGGAAGCAACCTAAGTTGTCCATCAGTAGATGAATGGATAAAGAAGATTTGGTACATATACACAATGGAATACTATTCAGCCATAAGAAGAAAACAAATCCTACCATTTGCAACAACATGGATGGAGCTGGAGCGTATTATGCTCAGTGAAATAAGCCAGGCGGAGAAAGACAAGTACCAAATGATTTCACTCGAAGATTTCAAGACTTCCTGGAGTACACCAGTGAAGGTTTCATCTATCAGTGCGGAGAGGGGCGGAGAGATCAGTGGGCGGGGATGCAGCTGGGGAGCCTCCGCCACATGCTGTCACCCAGGAAGGGCCTCGTGCAGTTTGGCAGGAAATGAACGTCTCTTCCCCGAATCTTGGGTCGTTGGGAAAACCCTGCTTACTTCACATAGTGCACAAAAGCCAGCGCATGATGGAGCAGTCCTAAGCGTGAACGGTAACAGGGAACTTTCTGGAAGAATGTGTAAAGGAAGCATCAGCCCAAAGAGGCACACGCCACCTCAGAGCAATAGGCCCGAGGGGCACTGCAGGGAGAAGCGCCCACGGACGCTGTGAAAACGGCTCCACACTCAGGAGCGAGCGCACGAGACAACAGGACACACAGGAAGGCTCGAAGGTAAAGGCTGAAAATGCCAGGAGTGGGCGAGAGTGCAAGGAGCCGGGACTCACACACACGGCCAGGGGGCGGGAAGTGGTGCAGCTGCTGGGGCAGTGCTGCCACGCGGGCCACCACAGTCATACAGGATTGTCCCAAGAGCGCACGAACAGGGGCTTCCGCTCCTGGGAGACACGGCCAACAGTGTTCTCATGGTTCTACTCACAATGGCCCTGACGCAACGAGCCCGCCATCCAGAGCAGCAGGCTGGATGAACAGTGGGTCAGTGTACGCACTTTGGGGCGCATGCTGCCTGTAAGGGGGCGCACGACGGACCTTGGAGGGGACGGCTCCAAGCCGCGCAGTGGGATAAAATGCAGCAGTGAGAACCCACTGCCACCTGCAAGTGTGGACGGTCTCATGAAGGTGAGCAGAGAAGCCAGGTGGGAACAAGGCTCGTGCCTGACAACTGAGAAGTGATCCGTGAGGCCATGCAGCACCAGGCTGGTGACCAAGAAGGGGCGGGCAGAGGGAATTAACCTGGGGTGCTGGAAAACCTCGGCATCTCGCTCTGGGTGGTGGTAGTGTGGGTGTGAGAACCCAGTGGGCTCAGGACGGGTGGCCCAGGGCAGCACTGCCCTACTTCATGGCTCCAGGCCCTGGTCAGCGCCCGTGGTCCGTGCCCTTAACGACCTGTGCACTCTCCTGAACGGGGTCACCTATGCTCGGCTCCCAGGATGTGCTGGTGTGACTGTGGCCCCAAGCCTATCCAGTCCTACAGGAGAGCTGGTAACCCTACAGCTCTGGCCCTGACCTAAGTGACCTCCCAGGACTTGGTCATATTCTGAAGTGAATGGGAAGCATTACCTCTAAAATGCAAAAGATGTAAAGAAACATTTTGTAAAAAATTATAAAACTGTCACTCCAAAGGAAAAGGTACATCACATATTAAGATCCCATGTTTTATAAATGCTATGTAAGCGCCTGCTTATAAAAAAGCACATTTTGTAAGTGCACAGAGGAAGATCCATTCCCTGTCGGGTGCAGAGATGTGCCTCAGTCATGCACCCCTCCCAGCACCCACCAGTCCTCCCCTGCCCCAGGGAGCTGGTCTGCCTTTCCCAGAATGTCACATAAAATGGAACTGTGGCATTGGTGCCTTTTGGTCTGTCGGCTCCTTCCACTGCGTAAATTGCATCCAAGATTCATCACGCTGCTCTGTGCATGAAATAAGAAGAAATACATGTACTGGTCTTGGTCCCAGTTCCTGGCACAGAGCCCCTAAATTTCTTGGAATGTCCTGAGTGACAGGAGGGTCTTTTGTCCTAATGAGGTGCCTGTGGGGAGCTGTGGACGGGGCTGGTCACCAGGCAGACCTAGCCCTAGTTAGAAGCTAGAACTTGCAGCCCCACCTATGGTCTGGGAAAGAAGGCATGGGGATTGGGTTAGTGACCCATCAGGCCAATGTGACGAAGCCTCCATAAAAAGACAGTATGTGGTTCAGAGAGCTTCCGGGCTGGAGCATGGGTCCACATACCAGGAGGGCAATGGTTCTCACTCCTCGGGGTCAGACGCTCCAGCCCACAGGTCCCTCCCGGACCCTGCCCTCTGCGCCTTCCATCTGTGTCCTTTATCCACCCTGTGTTATACTGCTAACCCTCGAACAGCACAGGTTTGAAATGCCTAAGTGCATTTAAACAGGCTTTTCAATGTGGGCACTGGAGATGGTTCTGAAGATGAGAAACTGTGTGAAACAAACAGGCAGATGCACGGCACAGCACACAGGTATCTAAACAATTAAGAAAGAGGTGTGCTGTGAATGCACAGAATATGCAGATCCTAGTTAATTTTATCATTTGTACTATAAGATCAATGTAGGCTATTGCCAGTTAAGTTTTTGGGGAGTCACAGGTTGTATGTGGGTTTTTGACTGACCCCTAAAGACTGTGTCACTCAGAGGCCAGCTATACGATAAACTGGTAGATGCAGGTGTTTCCCTGAGTTCTGTGAGCTCTTACGGCAAATTAGGGACTGTGAGAAGGGCTGTGGGGCCCCATGAACCTACAGCAGGTCGGTCAGAGGCACCTGGGACCTGGCACTGGCATCTGAAGGGGCACCCTGTGGAGCTGAGCCCTTATGCAGTGGCTTCTTCGCTGACGCCAGGTGGTGGTGTCGGAACTGAACCAAAGTGCAGGTAGGACGCCTGAGCAGGAGGCCTCACCAGACACCGAGCTGCTGGCACCTTGACCTGGGACTCCAAGGCCCAGAGCTGTGAGAGATCGATGCGCGCTGTTCACGAGCCCCAGCCCGGGCACTGGGAGGGCAGCCTGACTAAGACAAATGGCTAGAGAGCGGCCACACAAGAGGGGTGAGGGTGTGCGACAACCGGGCCCTCACACGGGGCCGGTGGGGATCTAACATGGTGCCAGTAAGTTAAGCAAAGACTTACTCATAATCCAGGGACCTCACAACTGTATACGCATGTGGAAGAGCTGAAAACAGGGGTTCACACACGTGTACCTGAATGTGTTCACAGAAGTCACAGTCATTATTCCAAATGGTAGCCACCCAAACATGCAGAGCATGCGCCATGCACACAGGGGACTATTACTCAACCCTGAAGAGGAGGGGGGCCCTGACACACGCACAGCACGGATGGACCTGAGCCCACGGTGCTCAGGGAGAGGCGCAGACACACAGGGACACACCGACTGGGATCTGTTCACAGGAAACGACCAGAACAGGCAGATGCACAGACAGACATGGACTCATGGCTGTTGGGCTGGGAAGGGTGGGGAGACCTGCTCCTGAGGATGGG